AATTATGAATATATATGTCAAAAATTATGAACATAGAGTTGTGAACATGATTATAAACATATAATTCTGTAATTAGGAATATAGAGATTCAATAATTGTGAATATGAAGTTCAAAAATTATATATAGTTTTATAATTATGAACATATAGCTCAGTAATTATGAACATAGAGTTCTGTAATTGTGAATATAGAGTTCAATAATTATGAATATATAGTTTTATAGTTATGAATATAGAACCGTGTCCACCTTGCAAGGTGGACACGGCTCAACAGCATAACGATTGGTAGTAGTATCATAATTCTTGTACTGAAAGTCATAACTTCAATTAATGTCAACACCTTTTCGGTTGAGTCTGTTACAAAGTCTTCGTAGTGTGATTTATTTTTTTACACATACTCAAATAATGGTTGATTTTTCTAGTATTTACGCACATCTAAATAGTGACTGAGTTTCTCTCGCATGGTCATCATATGTGTATAATGATTGATATTAATTATTAGCTACTTCACATACAAGGCCCAAGTGAATTGTATGGACATTTGGCAAATTCTCTTCCTCAAATCTCAATGACACCAATATAATGTTATGAATCCTGCGTGGTCATCCCATGTGTACATGAAAATCCTGCGTTGTTTTTCTGTCTGTTCCGTTTCGAGTCAGAAGTATCTATACGCATTTTGTTTACGAGTTTTTTGCATTTTTAATCCCACGACTATAGTGGTACTGTCAGAATTGATCTACGACTTTTGAACCTTGCAATTTTAGTCCACGACTATTGATTTTTTTGTAAAAAAATGATCCTTCCGGCTACTTTTCCGTCAAAATTTCACCAAAAAAAAAAATTTCCATTTTTAGCCGGGTTAAAATTGACATTTTACTTATCTCAAAAAATTAAAAAAAAAAAAATGATATTTGACTACATACAATATTACTGGGCTAGATACTACTGCCCCAGGCGGCGGAGTTCCTGGAGCAGGCAGGGCAGTCAGTAAGCGGCGGAGCGGCCGTGGCGTTCCCCGGGCTAGTTGGGTTATCCGGCAGCAGCATTGGAGTGGTACATGTACTCCGCTACCTGGGGCAATAGTATGTAGCCCAATAATATTGTATGTAGTCAAATATCAATTTTTTTCTTTTAATTTTTTGAGATAAGTAAAATGTCAATTTTAACCCGACTAAAAATAGAGAATTTTTTTTTCCCCGGTGAAATTTTGACGGAAAAGTGGCCGGAAGGACCATTTTTGCAAAAAAATCAATAATCGTGGACTTAAATTGCAAGGTTCAAAAGTCGTGGATCAATTCTGTCAGTGCCACTATAGTCGTGGGACTAAAAGTGCAAAAAACTCTTTTGTTTATGTTCAATAATCTAAAGAGTTGCTAATCCTCCTCTACAATCCTTGTAGGGCTAGAGTGTACGGTCAGGTTGAGAAATTTCGTCGTTTACACCTAATAAGGTAGAAAAAGTTGGAAGAACCTAAACTATCACAATAGTCTTTAAATCTCAATTCTATTAAGCATCAAACAGTAATAGGCTAGTAATTCTCCAATCCCTGACAAAACGGAGTTATGAAATTGCCATGTTATAACGCTAGTGCATAGTTATTTGGACATTTTAGAGTTATTTAAGATATGGCCATGTTTGGTAATCGGCGGATCCGTCATTTTTTGGCGGATCCGCCATTTTGGCGGTTTGACATGATTTGACCATGTCAAACCGCCAAAAAAATCTGTTTGGTTAGCAACGGTTTGGAGCAGCAGTTTACTCCAAACCGCTGCTTTCGCAAACGCTGTAAAATGCAGCGTTTGCAATTAGCGTTTTGGGGAAAATAAATTTTTTCCAAAACGCCCCTGTTTATTAAAAAAAAAAAAAAAAAAAAAAACTTTAAACTTGTATTTGAGGAGCCGAAATGGCTCTTTAATTTGAAGAGCCAAACGGCTCCTCAATGTTGCCCATCCCAGATGGGCAACGAATGAATTTGTGGAGCTTTGAGGCTCCTTAAATAGGAGCCTCAAGGCTCCATTTCCACTTTTCTCATCGATGTGGGACGGTGGGAATACAAGGGCCAAGAGGGGAGCAGCAAGCTGCTCCCTTCTTTCTTTTTTTTTTTCTTTTTTTTTTAAATTTAAATTATTATTATTATTAATTATTAATTATTAATTATTATAAGGGTATATATGTCATTTTACATGTTAACCGCTAATCTAAATAGCTAATTTTATCAAACACTTTTTTATAAACCGCTAATACAATTTGCTGGTCAAACACGCTAATACAATCCACTATCTGATAACCGCTAACACAATCCGCTACCGCTAACCACTAACCTCTGATAACCAAACAAGCCCATATTACGCAATTAACCTTTTCCACCAAATTGTTAGGACCTTCGGAATCAAGATTGACCTAAAATCCTTAGTAATACTTTATAGTTAACCTAAGATGACTCTAACCCACTCATCACTAACTTGACCTAAGCTAACAAAATGATCCGAACATTTATTACCTCATCATAAAGCATGGGAAGCCTTCAAAGCTCCCACCTACGGCACAAATAAATTAAGGGTGTTTGATTTAAACATGAGAATCAGAATCAAAATGAGAATTAAATACATAATAATTAGAATGGATTTTGATGGACGTATTTTACATGTTTTATGGTAGGTTAGAATTGGCGAAATGATTATTAACAATATTGTTGTTTGGTTATATATGATTCTATAATTGAAATTTAAAAAATACAAAAATAAAAAATCAAGACAATTGATCCTAATATGACGACATTCAAAGTACAATATGAACAAAAAATCAAAACAAAAATCTAAAATGACTAATCATATGTACATAGTGTGAGGAGGCGACAAAAAGATGAGGTGATGAAATTAGGAGAGGATGAAATGAGGAGGGATAAAGTTGAATTAATTGAATGATACCTAATTTAGATTAAGTAATGTTGGGTGTTTGGTAAATAGTTGTTAGCTGATTGGGTTACTAGGTTTGACTAATTGATAGCATTAGCTGATTGTAAAAAGATGTTTGGTAAATTAGCTGTTAGCTGAAAGCTGATTACATACAAAATGACTTTCTCAAAAAGTTGATCGAAAAACTGTTTTGAGCAGCTTTTTGTATTCTAGCATTTTGGAGCAATAAGCTATTACAAAAAGTTAATTAATCAAACACTTATATTGGTTGTTTAACCAAGTCAAACCGCTAATAATGGTCAAATAACTCAAAATTGGCTGATAAGATAACTATGTTACAAAACAGGACCAAATGAGTTTTTATAGCTAGAAATAATCAAATCATATACTTGTGTTTCAAAAAGTTATCAACTAAATAATATGTGTGTATGACTTTTATAGTTTCATTCACATCTCTTGTATCTAACCCATGAACCAAACATTTTTAAATGTGGACGGAAAGGAAATTAAAAAAAGTTAAATTACAAACAAACAACATAACATAAAGTGAATGAAACAACATCTAATGTAGTAATCAATTACTCTCAATTATCTTCGCGTTAAGTTATTAACAAACACAAATTCATCATTTTACATGTGGATAAAATGGAAAAACAAATCGGAAGTCGACGTGAAATAGATGCACCTATCAACTTTAATGAGCAAACAAGAAAAAAATAAAAAGAGGATTAGGTGTGGTTAGGGACCATATATATGAAAACCTTGTGGTCCAAACTGCTAAATTAAATGATGTACATATAACCGGAAATCCATAATCAAACAACCTAAGATCTTTCGAGGAAGTAACCGCTGAACAAACGACTGCAGCAAACATGTTTTTTTGTACATGCAGTAAAACAATTGCGGCATCTTAACCAATGTGATTGCAGGGCATACTTCAAGAAGATAGAGATTTGATTTTGGATGACAGGGAAACCCACAATTAGTGGGTGAGGGTATGTAGTGGATAATGATCGAGATTTAGTGATTTTTTTTGAGTAATTCATACCTTCAAGTACGAGAGTTATGCTCCCCACTCGACTACCCTTTTGGAGCAGACCATGTGTTTATAAGAGAATTGATCGACTACCCTTTTGGAGCAGACCATGTGTTTATAAGAGAATTGAGCTCGTGACCTTTAAAGTACGAGAGTTATGCTCCCCAGGGTGCACGCAAGAGAAAGCCTCTATGTTATACATTCAATAAGTATTTAAAAGACTCTTGTATAAATAGTGGGACAAATTCTCTTCCCAAACCAATGTGGGACAAAATTTCACTTTTTTCCCTCCATTTTTCACTCAAATGAGTCTACTTTGAGAATCAATATCTCATTCACCCATTATCCGTTTTGAGCGTACAATATATCAATCTCTTCGTCTCACTACGAAGAATCTGAATCCACTATGACCCGGCCCAAATCGGAAGTGGATCCTACTGATAATTGTACCACAAAATAGCCACTTAACATGCCATTTTAAGCTATTTTTTCCAACAAGGCATGCCGACAGGCCAGGACCTGTTCCCTCGTCTGGCTATAAATACCGCATTAATTGTTGTTAGAAGGGACTTTTGGCTATTTCCTACTCTATAGCTATTAATCTCGGGAACCTCTGACCCAATGTCACATTGACCGAGTTTTATTACTTAAGCCAACAAGTAGACCTAGACTCAGGATTCGAACCCAGATATGATCTTGGACCGTATATCGTAGACAATATACACTTTGTATTTACTACATCAACTACATATAGAGGGAAAAAAAAACAGTTTTTAGTCCCTAGAGAACCTATTTTCCTCTCTGGCTAAAAAAAAACATAGTAAATTTTAATGGTCCTTTGTTTAATAGTCAGAATGCATGATGAGTTTCTCCATAATTCCATAAATCAAAGAATCAAAGTTAAGATAAGAGTGCGTGGATTGTTGGTGGCCTAAAAGTTGCATCAAATTCTTTATTTATTTATTTATTTTTTTAAATGTACGATGTTCATCAACCTTACAACCGTCTAACAAACTCATTAAATGTAAATATATGCAAGCTCGGAAATTACTAAGAAAGTTGTAATGATTGAAACCGTCAAGATTTACAGTCAAATAGAACTTTAATTTTCTGTATTAACAAACCTAATCATCTAAATTATACCAACCACTTTTGCACTAATCACACCCTTAATACCAACTCCGATTCTTGAACCACGTCACTGATCATCTGTCTAAGTAGTAACAATCATCTGAAAATCAATAATCCCAGAGACAACCGATGTCCACCGGACCGGCGGCTGCTGAGGTCATCAGAAACGGCGGTTCCTCCAGCAAAAACCTCGTAATGGAGTGGTCTTGCTGCGTCATCCCGGAGTCGGAGAAATCCATGTTGTCGGCGTACGGGATCATCTGGTCGGAATGGAAGTAGGTTGGGGTGGGATCGGCGGGGAAAATGAGGGGTGCCGGAGAGACGTCGGAGTTCTTCGACGGTGACGGAGAAGAAGCGAAACTTGAGGCCATGATGGGCTTCTGATCATCATCTGCGGAGTCGGAGAAACAAGTTGTCTGAGATATATCCATTAACGGCGGCAGAGATGTCGACGGCGGTGTGGAGTTTTTGCTGCAATCGCCGCCGCCTCCGATCAGCGCTGAAATATGTATTTTCTTGCCGCCGGCAGTCTTCTTGAAAATCCGGCATATCACCCATTCAGTCTACAGGGGAAAAAAACACACAAAAATCAACCCAACAATCTAAAAATTAAAGCGGCTAAGCTAGGAGAGTGATAATTAATTAAGCATTTGATTTGATCCGAACCTGAAAGGTTTGATGATTGCCTTCCAATCTATATTCATGCATTACCCAGTTAGTTCTTTCACCTCTGGGCGCTCTTCCACTGTAAAAAACCAGCGTCTTCTTCATTCCCACCAGAGTTTTCGCCGTGAAAATCTCCTTATCTTTTCCGGTGGCTTTCCAGTACCCAGATTCCGTCGCTCTGTTCGTTCTCATCCCCGTCGGATACTTCCGGTCTCTCACGCAGAAGAAATACCATTCCTTCTCCCCCATTCTCGCTCTCCCTTCATAACCAAATTAAAACAACCTTAATTTCAGAAACAATATAATCCCAGACAGAACAAATTAAAACACAATATATAAACATCAAAATCCCAGAAAACTTACATGGCAATTCCCAGGGCTCAACCCTATTCAAATCCACCTCGCCAATAGCCACGGCGGAGAAGGCGGCGTCAACAGACTTCGGCGACAAGTAATGGGTTATGAGTTCCTCGTCGGTGGGGTGGAATCGGAACCCCGGAGGCAGATTCATTTCATCGTCAAAAACACTGGGATTCTCCATCTCTCATGAAAATCTTCAAAAAACACAACTGTATCTAACTAACTTCAAGAATCTAGAAAACCAACAACGATTGAATGTTGTTCCAGAGAAAAACAGAGGTAATTAAAGGGGGTTTCACAAGAAAGAATTATAAGAAATCTGCGGGGTTTCGATATGAAGCTGGAAGAAAGAAAACATTATTGTAACGGAAAGATGAAAAGGAAGCAGTGTGAAGAAGAAAAGTGTTCCTACGGAGGAACACAGCTCCATAAATAGAGGTTTTGGATGACGATAAACGTGGTTCCATTCCCAGGGCTACTGTTTATTATTATTATTATTTTATTTTTAACAGTTAATTTTGTGGACTTTTTCTTTCTTTTTTTAATTTCATTTGTACGGAGTAATTCACACTCTGCCTTCATTCCATGTTCCATGTTGTAGTATGTCAACTCCTTTTAATTTAATTCATATTATAATAAACTATAATTATGTTGTATGTCACCAAAAAGTAGTCGAGTGGGTGTAATGTAATTTTCATGTCTGAAAGTTTTAATTTTGATTCTTGCTAATAATGTCACACGAGGTTGATTTATGCTTAAAGTTACGAGTTTGATTATTGTCAATATAATCTCAGTCAAGTTTGTCACACAAGGCTTTTGTAGTACAATTTATCTATCATATGTGGTTAGCAGTCTATTATACTAGTTGCGGATTTCTCTTGTCACCAAATATTTGTGTGTGTTTGGTAATCGACCACAAGATTTATATCGACAAGATTCGAACAAAATTAATATGAATTGACCGAGGCCCGACTGACATCATACTAGGAAGTCTACGATTCTGGTCAGGAAGAGTAAAATGGGCGTTCGAAGGCCATACCATGACCATAATCAAAGGGGAAAAATACTCTCACACCATAATCATGTGGGTTGTTAGCTCCGTATGGACACCTTGTCGTAGTAGAATTGTCATGGAATTCACTTTTGACACGTGACAGGAGAATTCGACATGTGTTTTACATCTTCGCCTATATAAGGTGCATTAAATGCACAGGGGAGGAGGAGGGGGGGGGGGGAGGAACTTAGGAGCCCTTAACTTCATCAGCTTATGCTCAAAACCGTCTGAGAAAACACAACCATTTAACCCTAACATGTATATTGGATTCGTATCTGATAAGAGCGATTTAACCGTATAAAAATTAATCACCTTCTAACATTAGCTACTTGTTTACCAATTGCTCAAGTTGTCGAATTATAAAATACGTTTTTTTTTTTTTTGGTAATAAGAGAAATTCACAGTCACTACTTGAAAGTGTACTGTGCATTAAGTAAATCTCACATGCTCCTATGTTATTGTCTACAAATTACACAAGAGACATTAGAGACAAACCGCTCCTGAAAAGCACTGTGCAACAAGCTCAATTGAGAGAATATTGAAAAAAATCAAACTCGTAATTTTAAAATAAGTTATTTTTAATATTATTAATAATAACATGTAATATTAGCACTTGGTGGAATTTTTTGTCCGTCAAATAATAATAATATTATTATTAGAAAATAATAATCATATTTGGTAATACTAATAATCTTATTATTATCTATTTTTAATATTTTTAATATACAAGTCATAATCATATTTGGTAAAGTCGGAATTTCAAATTAGAAAATAGAAGGTTTTTAGTTGACATTTGTTTAACCAAATTTATCTACACCCCCTCGTTGCCACATTATACCTACTCGGAAACCCGCCATCACATCATATATGGAAATAAGGTATAGTGTATTAAATCAAATAATTTATGTACACATGCATCATGTTAATTCGATCAACATTGTATATTAAATTAATCAAATTTGCATACAGATACATTTAGTCCATTTGGAGTATTACAAAGTGTAACACTCGAAATTAGTGGTACATATATTATATTCACTCTCTTACTATGGAAATCGATTTTCAAACATTGCACCATGCGGATGTTAGCAAAGTAAATTTTCTTAACTTATTTTGGGTTGGTTGACAAATTCAATTGTGTTGCGTGGGGTTAAAGTTTGGTCTATTCCCATCATAAATGATACGGAGTATATATTTATATTACTACATAGAGTTTGTTGACTGTAGACATTTACGAAATTATCAACTGTGTCGGAGTTGTTAAAGCTTGGTCTTGTAGGATATGACCCACACTACTCCTATCGGCCTCGCCCCGCCGCGGGATTCCAGTGGGCCACGCCGACGGTCAATGGTCGGGCGGCTGTTGTCGATTTTGTCCTGACAAACTATTTCTCTCTCTTATTTTGTGTCTTTTTGGGTCACAATACATTCCTATCGGCAAATTATTCAGTGGATTCGTGTCCACTTTGCGAGGTGGACATAGGTCTAAAGATACATCATTTACATACTATATATTCACAATTTACCTTTTAAATATTTACAATTTTTTATGGTATTGTATTCACAAATCTCCAAAACTTAAAAACACAATTTATATTCAAGAAGTTCACAATTTCAATACGAAAAATACACAATTTAGGACCAGGGTCCACCTTACAAGGTGAACCTTGATCCATGATATAACAATTGTTTCCTACCCCAACAAAATTTGAGCCAATTCACCATTTTTATCCGAGTTAAAACTTTCTCAATAAAATGGGTCCCGAGATCCTATGGCCATGAGTATCAAATATTATCATTGTTAATACTAATGAAAATAGGAAATTATTAATTATACGGAGTAGTAAAAGTATGCACATGATTTAAATCCTGTTTTCAATATCATTTTTGTTTCTTTCTCCAGTTTGCGGCTACGCAGACATTAGAGAAGCCCACACCAGTAGTATACATTATTTTATTTATTTATTTTTGTTGTTCCAAGTTCCAACACGAGAAAATTATAAAGGGGGTTTCGTAAAAGTCGAGGGTCGGTGCACTATTTCAAACCAACATTTTTCTTCAACCTTTACCTAAATCTAAATACCATAAAATATTTCTTTAAGATTGCGACTTAATATCGCCCATTTTCATTTTCTTGTTGAATTAGTCACTTTTTCCAGCCACAATTATTCCTTTTTTCTTCAAATCTTTTTTTTTTTTTTTCAAACTCAAAGCGTATACGACAGTTCTGATCATTTCCGACCTTATTAGTGATACACTTTTTGATATACAGATTGGATAGTGAACCTTGTTTGTAATAATTAATTTTATGAAGAATTATATATACTGAGACTAGTTATGTTTGTATCTAATAGGACTTTAAAAGTAACATAACACTCTTCACAAATTTATAGATAGTGGTATTTTTCATATTCCAATTAACCAAATTAAAATCTCTAATAATTAAGTTAAAAAAGATACGCGTAGAAATGTAGAATCAATTATTTATGATTTTGACTGCCGTATCTCTCGCTGACCCAATCACACGATTGGATAGCTCCTCCAGGTGTCATTAATTTTGTCCAAAATGGGCAATTCTTAGGCCAACAATAATGTTTGTCAAACTCCATATTAAATTGTCCAACTTGATTTTCAACAGCTGCAACTAACTTTAGTATTAGCATTAACTTGGAGAGTTAGTGTGACCTGAAAGATATAAAACTTCAAATGTTAAAATTCAATAAAAAGCTAAAAATTTTAATAACATTATTAATATGGGGGCACCAAGTAAACTCTATCATGTGTAATAGCTTATAAATCGATAGATTGTACTAAGAAAAAACCGGGTGCAGCGACCTCAGTCAAGTAATTATTGACAAAATTCAAACTCGTGACTTTCGTGTATGAAAATCATACTCCATCTCTTTCAGGGCAAAGGAAGTTCAATAAATGCTCCACCAACTTCTTCTTTCGAAAGGTTGAATCCCTAACCCCAAGAGCCTTTCACACCCCGGCCTGACAGAGCATTTGGGAGTATGTAAATCACAATGACTTAATAATAACTCAGCAAACGGGCCCAAGTAATAATGTGCATAAAGAATCTGCCCACTTTGTGTATAATCCCTACACTGCTGTTACGTTGTTAAAGTTCAAAGATTGATATCTTCTTCTAAATACTGTTTACTGAACCAGTACGTAAGTTAACTCCTTGCATATACATGGAGTTTTTTGCACTTTTAGTCCCACGACTATAGTGGCACTGGCAGAATTGATCCACGACTTTTGAACCTTGCAATTTTAGTCCACGACTATTAATTTTTTTGCAAAAATGGTCCTTCCGGCCACTTTTTCGTCAAAATTTCACCGGAAAAAAAAAATTCTCCATTTTTAGCCGTGTTAAAATTGACATTTTACTTATCTCAAAAAATTAAAAGAAAAAAATTGATATTTGACTACATACAATATTACTGGGCTACATACTACTGCCCCAGGCGGCGGAGTTCCTGGAGCAGGTAGGGCTGTCAGTAAGCGGCGGAGCGGCCGTGGCGTTCCCCGGGCTAGTTGGGTTATCCGGCAGCAGCATTGGAGTGGTGAAATTTTGACGGAAAAGTGGCCGGAAAGATCATTTTTGCTAAAAACTCAATAGTCGTGGACTAAAATTAAAAGGTTCAAAGATCGTGGATCAATTCTGCCAGTGCCACTATAGTCGTGGGACTAAAAGTGGAAAAAATTCCATATACATGCTCCACAACTTTAATAATTAGTGAGGTGCAGATGGGCTACTCTGACGGACTAATATAGTAATATTATGGTATCTCTAACCTTGGCATGTATTTATGGATTTACACGAGTAAAAATATCATTATTATTATGTACAATATAATACATGCGGTATATTCCCATCTAGACCTTATCCTTTGCTTAGTATCTAATCCTCACCACCTAACACGAAAGTTTATGTAGACTCACTAATCCCTAGAGAATAAATACCTAATTTTGCGTTTAAGTACGACTATGTATGTGGTATACTAATTAAAATATTAAATAATTTTTTTAAATAACGAAGAAAATTAACAATCAGGATTCAAAGATGTGTACTAGATAAATCTTAAAATTATAGTACTAAATAAATTAAACTTTGTTTGGATAGATATGAGTTTATTTACCCTAATTTGAGCCTCCTCTCGCACCATATAATTGGTTGGTCGTGGTAGCCAACCAAAAAGCGCAGCATAACGTTAGCTCACTTGTATAAATAGACTATTCAACCCCATACTTTAGATAATCTTAATCACACATATTACTACTTGTACTAAATTGAATTGTCCCATTATGTTTGGTTCATCATTTTTAATGCCTCGTTGTACTCCATCATAAGGATCTGCCCACTTTGAGCATAATTTGCATACTGATGCTGTCAAGGTTTAAATCTTGGTCTATTTTTTCAAATACTGTCTGTTGAACCAGTGAGTTAACCCCGTATAGACTGTTTAATTGTATCTCACTAAATAATTATAAATAATAAAAAAAAAACATAATTTCTACTTACTCCATTCTAACATAATGTAAACATGAATCTTTAATTCAGTCTAATCTTACCATTGATATAATTATGTATTTTTTCTGATGAGTTGACGGCTCCCATGGATACAATTGCCATTAAATATTGGACTGTTGCGCTTAAGCTTCTAATTATTCAACCTAATTACCTAATCCTGAATTAATTAATACTTAAATATATCCTCTGCAATTACCAACGCCTTCCCAGATAAAGAAGCATCTTTTAATTAATTAATTTATTTACTTTAATTGTTCTTCACAAAGCCGCGTGGGTGGCGTTAGCGAACTCCAAGGATGTCAGCCGCAACTTCATCCTCCGATCCGCCACGTCAGATCCGAGAAAGAAGATTTGACTGTGCCGCCGTCACCGCCGACGTTTGACAGTCGCCGCGCATTGGTGGTTTTCAAGAAGCCAGCAGCGAACGGGCCGAACTTTCCAGTCGGCTGAGCTAACGGGGAGGGTTGACTGTTGACTTCGGCGCTGAGCTGGCACTGTGGGCCATGTTTCGCTTGTTCCGACATGCGGGGTTTGCGGGGAACAACCACGTGGACGAATGGCGTTCGTGGGAAGGTGGTTAGATGACACTGTCGTGATGCCGATAGTGATTAGATTAGGTTAGATAAAGTGATCTCTAAGAATAATTAAGTCAAGTAATTAAGGGCGTAAGCGATAAGCTTATCTCATGTTTGAAAATTAAAACTCGAAGCTTTGTTTTGTTTGGGCACTTTGGTAATACTAGACGTCGGTAGATGTTAAAGTTGGAAAATAAAAATAATAATAATAAAAGTAAACATTTTTTTCTTTTTAAATAGGAATAAGGGTCAAATAGGCCATCGAACTGCACACAATAATGCAATTAGGCCACTGAACCTAAAAAAACAACAACCAAGCCACTAAACTAACCAATTTCTTTCAATTAGCCTAATTTACAGGTTAGTAACAGGTCACCAAAAAAATTTAAAATAGTTTTTAAAAAAATTATTATTTAAAAATAATAAATTAAAGTATATTAAAATAGTTTTTAAAAAAAAAAACGAAGAAACTTTCTTCATCTCCATGGCCGGAGACGAAGAAACGTTTTTTTTTAAATATATTTTAATTTATTATTTTTAAATAATATTTTAAATTTTTTGGGTGACCTGTTACTAACCTGCAAAACCTGTAAATTAGACTAATTGAAAGAAATTTGTTAGTTTAATGGCCTAATTGTTGTTTTTTCAGGTTCAATGGCCTAATTGCATTATTGTGTGCAGTTCAATGGTCTATTTGACCCTTATTCCTTTTAAATATAAGAGTTTGAATCAATGATGGCGAAAATTAGGTGTGATAGAGTATCGACCAAAGCATGAAAGGTTCACTTAGTCAGGCGAATCTGAGCGAGTGAAGAGATCATCCGGATTAAGAGGTAGGAAGGGTGAAGGAGCCGAGGAGTGAAAGGTTAGGTGGTACATCCAGTAAAGAAGGAAGTAGAAGTCAGTCAGTTGGTTAGGAAGGCAGGGTGAGTGCGTTAATCAGCCTTACCAGGCTCAAGTAGGTTTAGCCAAGTCAGGGAAGGAGTCGGCTGGAGGTGTCCAAGTGAAGGTGAGAGGGTAGAAAATACGCGGTTAAGGTGAAGTTGATGACAATAATTAAATCGACCGTTGAGAAAGATGATCTGTCACACGGGAGCCGTAGTAATAATCAATGATTAAGTAGCACTTATGGCATTTAAGACACTAATTACTTCATTTATTGTATTAATGATAGGCTAGCCGTTCCACCCAATCGAACTTGTATAAAAAGCCTGTTAGGGCACTGTAGAAGGGGTAGAGCATTCTAATAATGCGTGAGTTTTGAGAACTTCATCCTTGTTTCCAGCAACCTTGCGTATTATTTGTGGTAGTGTTGGCCCACCGGCAGACTGCTCCGGTAGTCTCTAAACCAACAAGGCGTTTTGAGAATATGGTATGAATTTTCCATACCTAAAGATAGAGATAGTAGAGAAGATACTGATGGTAGAGTGTGCTCTTATTACTTTTTCTTTTTGAAATACTTATGATTCTTTACAAGGTAGTATCTGTTGGAGGATGAATCTATAATGAATCCCAAAAGCCAATCCATGAGTATAACTCATAGGATCTATAGTGAATCCCAAAAGCCAATCCATGAGTATAACTCATAAGTGGACTGACATGGGGGCAACCTTAATCATAAGGCATCAATTTTTACTATTTGTTGGTGTGATCTTAATTATAGCAAGTCAGCTTAATCCTTCAAAATGTTGATCTTTGAACTTGATATACGAATTATTGAGTTTTTTTTTTTTTTCCTGATCTCATGACCTTTCACATGAAAAAGGTCATTACATGCTATTGGAGCACAAGGTGCTTGACATTTGAATTATTGAGTTAAATTGGGTTATACTATAACTTCATCACATTATTATCATTGGGGGGCAAATTTCACTGTGAACTATGGTCCAAAATGGTGTTGTTTCTTTTAATTAATGGTCCGTTTGGTTCACGGAATAGGTCGGGAATGGCATAGCATTCCCAGTAATAGGTCTATTCCTTTGTTTGGTAACCATTTCTATTACCAGGAATAATATTCCTAGTAATAACCTATTACCTCAAATAAGGTAATAGCTATTACTAGGGTCCTCCTGGTATTAGCCTATTACTGAACGCTCAGGAATACATTTTAGAATCTATTTTCTTTTTTACCCCTTTCTTTAACCTAATTTTTTATCCTATATATAAATTTATCCTATTTCACCACCGTCGTCGCCACCACCACCATCACCGCCGCCGCCGCCACCACCACCATCGCCGCCGCTACCACCACCACCATCGCCGCCGCCACCACCACCACCATCGCCACAACCGTCGCCGCCCCCACCACCACCGCCGCCCCCACCACTGCCACCGCCACCACCACCACTACCACCCCAGCACCACCACCGCCATCATCACCACCACCGCCACCACCATCGCCGTCGTCGCCGCCGCCGCCACCACCCAGCAGCACCACCACCACTGCCACAATCGTCATCGTCACCACCACCACGGTCGCTCCCACCACTGCCGCTACCACCACCACTACCACCCCAGCACCACCACCACCACCATCACCACCACCGCCACCACCATCGCCACCATCACATATTTTTATAAGGGTATTTATGTCTTTTAAAACATATTTCATTTCTATTCCTTAAATCAACCAAACACTGTAATATAATTCCTAAAGTCTATTCATTCCGCGAATCAAACAATAGAATACAATTCCTATTATATTCCTTGCCTATTCAATTCCTTATGGAATAGCATTCCTATTACCTCAAAATTCATTCCGTGAATCAAACGTGCTGTAAAAGAAACGGCTCCCGTTTTGTCTAATTACTGTAATGATGTATTTAATTTCATTTTATATACATTTCATTTCGTCACAACTAAAGTATACTTTTGTTTCAACTATATCTTCATTTGACATTATACACTAAATATGCGAGACCTGTTACTGATCTAATTTCATTTTTTACCCACTACAGTCTTATTACAACACCATTAAAGTATAATTCTAATTCAATTACGGTTTCATTAGACAATATACACTCAAATGTGTAAAATTTTTATTCAATTTCATTTTATATATACTGTAGTTTCATTACAACACAACTAAAGTATCATTTTGATATCACAACAGTTACATTTGACAATATACACTCAATATATGAGACATGTTATTCAATTTCATTTTATATATACCATAGTTTCATTTCAGCACAACAAAAATATCATTTCAATTCAACTACAATTTCATTTGACGATATACAATCAATATATGAGACATGTTATTCAGTTTGACTTTATACATGTTTTAGTTTTATTTCAATACAACTAAAATATCATTTCAATTCAAGTATTCAACTACAATTTTGTTTGACAATATATATTCAATATATGAGATATATTATCCAATTTCATTTTAGATACACTTCAAATTCATTTTATTTTGAATACATTACAAATATAATTATTAGGAGAGTAATTTTTGGACCAAGGTCCACACTGCCGTAAAACAATTGATCATTGGGAGAGCCGTACGGACAGTATTAATAGACAAGTGGGAAATTTGTTGAACCAAATAACTAATTACGTTAAATGGGCTTCATCCTTTTGCGGGCCAGGCCCAGATATAAACGGGTTTTAACATCGGAGTTTCGGAGAACGCGGGAAGTGGCGGGGAAAATGACCATAAAGACCATAACGAACAGGATTTCAAACTACCAACAACCGTCGACGCCATGGCGAAGAATTCGAAGCTGCAAAGACTTCCGAACTTTGAAGCGAATACACGCTCGGATTATCGTCAATGGCTTCAACTCCGACCGCTCTGCTCTTCGAGAACTCGTTTACGTCTCGGCAGTGGCTCTCTCCACCGCGATTCACTACGCGCACAAACTGTTCGACCAAATTCCCGAACCGGACATCTTCATGTGGAACACAATGCTCAGAGGCTCCGCTCAGAGCCCCAGACCGTCACTCGCCGTATCACTGTATGCACGGATGGAGAGACATTATGTGTGCCCGGATAATTACACCTTCCCTTTCATTCTCAAGGCGTGTACTAGGCTTTCTTGGGTTAACACTGGGTTGGTAACTCATGGAAAGATTGTCAAACATGGGTTTGAATCGAATAAGTTTGCGAGGAATTCCCTTATAAACTTCCACTCAAATTGCGGGGATATAAGAATTGCACGTTGGCTGTTTGATGGTTTGGCCATGAGGGACGTTGTTGCTTGGTCTGCTTTGACTGCTGGCTATGCTCGGAGAGGGGAACTGGAGGTGGCACGGAGGCTGTTCGATGAAATGCCGATGAAGGACTTGGTTTCTTGGAATGTGATGATAACTGGATATGTGAAGCAGGGAAAGATGGAGAGCGCGAGGGAGTTGTTTGATGCAGTGCCATGGAGGGATGTTGTGACATGGAACACTGTCATCTCTGGCTATGTGCATTGTGGTGAGCATAAACAGGCGTTGGAGATGTACGAGGAGATGAGGAAGGCGGGCGAGCAACCTGATGAGGCAACGATGTTAAGCCTCTTGTCAGCATGCACAGACTCGGGATCTCTGGATGTCGGGGAGAAGATACATTCCTCAGTTATGAAGATCATGGGTGCAGGGGGATTAAGCGTTTTTCTTGGCAATGCACTGATAGATATGTATTCAAGGTGTGGCAGCATCGAGAAAGCGATTGAAGTGTTTCATAGTATGAGCGAAAAGGATGTTTCAACTTGGAACCTTATTATCAGAGGGCAAGCTATGAATGGTCATTCCGAAGAATCAATTCTTCTCTTTGAAGAGATGAGGAGAACGAAGTTCATCATCCCCAATGAAGTCACTTTCATCGGGGTACTGGTAGCCTGCAGCCATTCTGGTAAAGTTGATAAAGGGCGCGAATATTTCAACTTGATGAGAGTTGAATACAGTATTGAGCCAAACATAAGGCACTATGGATGTATGGTGGATATGCTTGCACGCGCAGGGCTGTTGAATGAAGCTTTCGAGTTCATAGAAGCAATGGAGATTGAACCCAATGCTATCGTTTGGCGAACTGTGTTAGGTGCTTGTAAGATTCATTGTAATGTCGAGCTGGGAAGGATTGCAAACGCACAGCTGAGCAATCTGGGATTGGGAGAGAGTGGTGATTATGTTTTGCTGTCTAACATATACGCTTCGCGGGGTGAGTGGGATGGTGTTGAAAGAGTTAGGAACAAGATGGATGGTTGTGGGGTTTGGAAAGAACCTGGTTGCAGTCTGATTGAAGCAGATGAGGAAGCTTTTCTTAACTTCTTGTTTGATTCAGAACCTCAAAGGAACATGGCTAGTGACCAAAGGTGAGAAAGATTTTATCCTAATTCTGACTGCATAAACTACAGCTGCCCACAAATATCTCCATTAATTTCCTTGTTCACTTTATTACCGAATCATTATGCTTGATTGTTATGTACAATGCAGTCATACACAATTGGACTCACCAAATACAACATGAACATGAGTATATAGAATGCATGAGATGGGGCAATCCAACTAAGTTGGTCAGACACTTGGCTTGATAACTGCAAAGTTCAAAGTTCCACTTCCAGGGGAGTTGTCTACTGACCTTCTTTTCGTTTGAGCCGGTTAGCTATGGACAATCTAAGTCGGTTTACCTTCTTGTGAGCACACCTTCAAATAGTGACTGCGGGCTTTCTAAAGTGCCAAAGGATCACTGGCAGAACTAGTTATTTGAATGATGATGTTGCCTCCCTTGTGTGATAAGTCATAAAAAAGGCAGCACAACAGCAAACCCAATTATCAGTGAATGGCCAAGACTATTCTCTTCCTGCAATGTAGAGATGGAAGACAATACTATTTATAACTTCATCAAATGCTACCATATCAAGAAAGATCGTCAAAACTACCCCAGCTGCCTTCGAAGATTGGGGTAGAGCTGTTAAAACGGGTTCAAACCCGCCAAGAGTATCTATACATTATATTGTTATGTATGCTCATAATATACTAGCCTACAACAAAGAACCTGTTTTGTAAATTAGAACTAAGGAGTTTCCTTTTCCAAACACATTCAATTCATGAAGTTGTACAATCAAGAATCCACATTTTGGCCTTAAAATTAAAGAAGGGCTACCATAAGGTCACAAGTTCAGTTTTTGTCAACACATTTTTGGTCGAACCCTTTCTAGTGCGATTTATAAGCTATTATACGAGAATAGAATGTACCTAAAACTCCATCATCCATTAGTGGAAAAGTAGTACAATTATTATTCAAACAAATGTGATGAAAAATAAAGGAGGGGGGAGGGGGGTGGGAGATCATGATTTGTCACCTTACCACCCTGCAGGGAAGGGAATTGCCATTATTTATATATATATATATATATTGAGTGATAAGGGAAACTCGCAGCTACCAACTGATCGAGCTTTTCTCGGTGGTCATCAGAAACCTAGCATGAGAAAATGAGGCAGAAATGTAGCCAAGAATGACTTGCCAATCACCTCATTTACATGTAAACCTCATACACACATATAAACGAGTGTTCGCCGGCAAGTCATCCTTGGCTGCATTCCGGCGCCTCCTCCCCACATGCAAGCCCTCCGATGAACAAAACACGACCATATATACCATCATTTGAGTGGAGTGCATGGCCGGTGGCTTAAAGAAAGCTTCTCCAAGGGGAAACCCAACTAACATTCGTTCCACATTGCATGGCCACTACACAACTAACCCTTTCCTATTTAATCTAAAGCTTGACCAAAACAGCAATGGAGGAGTAGCAGTGGGTTTGTTGCAAGAAAATGGCAATCTACAAGTCGTCATAAATAGGGGTTTGGAATGGGGGCAATGCCCAATGGATCAAAGAATGAAAGTACAGTAGAAATTAAAAAGAGGTTAGATATGACCATCCACTGTCAATTCCAAAGATCTTTCCCTTTCAAGATTGGGTACGCCTCTGACATATACATGGTGGCCACCACGACGCAAGCTCTCACTTTTCTGGACTTTAAGACCCTACTTTGTCTTCTTGGATTAGGTGTTCCAATTACTGCTTCTGCTTCACATAAAGTTGTAGTGTTACACCTACCTTCCCGGACACCCGTGTATAAGCACACTTTAAAACTACTTTGGTAGACTATTTTTTTTTTTGAAACTACTACTTTGTAGACGATTGAAGCACATATAAAGATGTAAATGAGTCAAGTTACTTGTGAACCGTTTGATGGATATTCAAATTTGATTGGGTTACTTTCAAGTTAAGTCTGGAATTGAGCTGAATTCAAGCCTCAATCTGAACACCTAGTGAGCCTAATAAGTTATAACCTAATATAAATATAATATTACAAATTACAAATTTAACTTAATATATTTAATTATTTATAGAATGTTACACAATAACTATAACCAAAATGTAATATTGAATTTGTTATGGCATATGAATGTAAAATTATTATTATTATTATTATAGAGAATAAAAAAAACTTCATATTCCAGGCAAATTTCAAATTTTGAATATTCAAATTCAACTTAACTAGTTTTAGACAATCTATCATTGAAGTGTTCCACTATAACTTTAAGACACAAGTGATGAGAGATTGGAGTTTGAAGGGCAATCCATAAATAGTGGTAACAATAAGCACAGTATATGTATTAGATACAGAGCTGTTGATTTGGACGGTCATATATAAAATTTAATTTATTCAACATTAAAAGTATATATTGTTTGGGATACAACACAAGAAATTACACCAAGTTATAAAAACCTAGGTTAGGAAACAACAAATTAGCATAAAAAGGTGGTTGAATCCCTTAGGTAGGGAGTTCAAAACAAGGATCTTCTTCTCCCAAATACTGCCTACTGAACCATTGAGTTAAGCCCGTGCGGACTAAAAAACAAGGCGATCTTGTGCTGGTGAAGAATGGTGTCGCAATCTGATCAATTCAGAAATTCATCTCTCAATGATAACAATTCCCATATGGCTTCCACAAAAACAATAGTGACCACTCGATCTAACATCATTCAAGACCTTTCGAGTCCCAATCAACGGAGTCACTAACCAGCAATAACATCCAGCAATTGCCAGCAAATCAACAATACAATAACACTCATAATAAATAGTCCATAGCTCAATGCCATACCCATCCAGCAATACAATAAGTCATAATAAATAGTCCATAGTTCAATGCCATACCCACCCCATGAAATATAAATCTCGATATTCATTTTTATAAATAATATTCATGTTTTATTGCAAGTCAAAATAAGTTAATTTGGATGGATAAGAAACTAGGACAAATTTTCCCAAACATGTATATCTGCACTACTTAGTCTATCAACAAGAGACCCAACAAGGAAAATTCATAGATAGTATGAAAATTGAAAAAGCATAATCACTAGATTCCGAGGTGCAATGAATGGTGGTTATTATTGCAGAAGAAGAACTTGATCAACAAATCTGTACTAAGGATTCAACTTCACTCTCTCTCGGATGAATAGATATAACAATAGGAAAATAACACCCCACCCACCCCCCGCAATCATTTATAAGACAATAGAATCCAAATTGAAAGCAGGACAACATAAATGCTAACGATATACCAGTTAATGAGCTGCATCCTTTAGGCTCACAAGGCTAAGCCCGTGCGTGGAGAGGGAGAGTGATTTTGGCACCATGGGTAGATGCAGTCACAAAAGGGGAACAAAAACATAGTTATATCAACATATCACTCGAAAAACTGCTAAAGAAAAAGGACATTGTATAAAGGGTGTTAGTTGCCTATTGCATTGGAATCGGTATGCACAGGCAAGGGGGTTTTACCTCACTGAAGAGAACAGATAAAAAGAGGAAGAATGTTCATAACCAAAATGCCTCCTAACTTCCTTGAGTATATACTACATTTCTTTATATATATATATATATATATATATATATATATATAAAGAAACAAATTAATGGATCAACAAAACAAGATTTGAAGAGAATACTTATCTTTTGCAGGATGAAACAAGTTCCACTTGACCTGCTAATTAACGGAAACCACAACTCAGAATGTGCACCTTCAGATTGAATAAATATATATGACTGACAAGAACATACCACCTGATACCATGTTTGCTTTCAGTCGTGACTATGTTCCAAAAAGCTCTTCACGATCATTCAGAGTCCAATCAGAAATTTTCAGCATTGCACAAAATAACTGTCACTAAATAGCAAGAGATGGCAGAGCATTAATGAGCTACAACCAGTGCTGGCATACATATCCGAGGAGCTGCATGTGCCCCCCTACCACATAAGCTGCAAGTCCATCTTTTGCTAAAATAATCAACACTAACAAAACCTTCAGCAAATAAATTGATTGGTAAAACAATTTAAAAAGCAAGGGCAAGAACCCAAATTGAAGCATAACAAGAAAGCCAGCTTAGTGAACAATTGAAGAAACCAGCACAATGATGAGATAATTGCAGACATTTGTCTGAAAATTCAAGCATAGTCATTAATTTTGTTTAAAATAGAATTAGTCAACACCACATCCAACTAATGGTAAATCCTTACAAACAGACTGATCATGAAACATAAGGAAAGTAGCTAAGAACTCGATGATGAACGTGTCTAATACAATCACCAAATAAGGTAAGAATGGACATAGGCTTGCTAGGTACACAGGTTCATGGGAGCACAAGAATCTAAAGCTTGGACATATAGTGTCAGGACATGGCATTTAATAGAAGGTAAGATCTTCAGATATTGGTCCTCCTAAACAAAAGCATCAAGGTGGGGCCATGAGTTTTCCCCTCATTCATCTGGTCTTCTGGTTTAGATAGGAGGCTTCATCGGACAAGGCAGTAGGCTGGCTTCAAGCTTCAGGTATCTCAGCTGTTTTGTTAGGGAGGGAAAGGAAACAAAGGGAATTGCATCAGTTTCATAATTGGGTAAGAGGGCTAGGTCACCAGTATATTGTCACAAGTTTAGTATAAGTTGGTAATCAGGAAAGTTTATGAATTATCTGTTAAATGAATGGAACAATGCAAACAGAATCCACACTCTACCTGCAGTTCCAGTCAGAAAACTTTAGTAACCATAACTTTTTCTCCGTGATGCAGGATTTGACCCAGACAATCTGATAACATGAGTTCACATTGGCAAATCAGAAAATCTAAGAACAAAATGCAAACTTTTAATGAAAAGATGTAGCTTCAGAAATGGAAGTCCAATAGTCATCATCAGCACATGAATTTGACTTTCCAGGTTTGTGTCTCTTCAACCATAATTCCACCTCTAAAATATTATAGTTGCAGTTGGTTACAATAAACCAAAACTCACCCAGAACGGCCAATAGAATAGCCTTCATATGCTCCATATCCAAGGCTGCTGCTGCTACTCTGAAAGTGAAATTAAAGAATTTTGATAATGAAAATAAACTAAAATGAATGCATATTATAGCAGTAGCCATAATAGATGCAAGTAAAGACGTACATATATGCACGAAATGATCATGGAAATTAAGAATAGATAGAAAAATGTGTGCATCCCATTAACCCTAGCCCAAGCCATCTATACGTAGTGATCAAACAGTTGCAGACGAAATATTCTAGTCATATTGAACTTTAAAAGGAATAGCTATAACCTGAAGACCACCATAGCCTCCATAACCATCAGTTGGAGGTATATCATTAAGGCCACCATAACCAGAAGAATAAGAATGTCCTCGTCCATGCCTTCTAGTATCTCTGCTTTCATACTTTGTTAGGCTATCAGAAGCATCTATTGGCATTGGAAGATATGGAGGAACAGGCACAAAAGCAGATACAGCACCCTCCCTTTCAAAAAGATTTGCCCTCAATCGTGAAGTTACTTGAACAAGTGCATCCTTTGAAACATCAAGCTCTCCAGAAATCTAGCAAAAAGTGGAATTTTCAACAAACAACAACAATAATAATAATTATTATTATTATATGATAGATGCACAAGATTCAAATGGCATGGAACAATATTAAAAGGTAACCTCACTTCTAGCCCTTAGTGCTCTCTCTCTATTTTTGTTGTGTTGTGGAGAAACCACAATAGCCACACAATCATGTAAAGTGCAATGCAGATATTACTAGCACATAATTGCAGAGATTACACTTTTTATGATAGGTAATCTTGACAATACGTTATTATAACTTATATATGTATAGGCATGTTACCTGCACCATCTCATCATCTTCAGCTGCAACCTTCGGAAGGTTTTCCCTTGAAAGGATGCGGATATTAGCTTTGGTGGCCTTCCTCATCTCACTAATGATGGATCCACCTTTCCCAATAAGACAGCCTATGCGAGAGGTCGGTACAAGCAAGCGTGTGGTGAATGAAACAAGGCCTGAATCTCTTTCTACTTTTTCGCTGCACCTGGGTTGCAAGAGCATTGCAGCTTCTATTGTTGGAGAGTACGAGTCCTCGAAAAACTGTTAGCCATTGCATACATATATTTTTTTTAGAAAAAAAGGATGGTATTCAGATACCTTTTAGTGTAAAACATTAATGGAAAATAGTAAATGTTTACTTCTTTTGCTGAAATAATTATCAGACAGTCATCTCCTTCAGCACTTGAGCTATCCACTTTAATTGATGCCCTCGATTCTTGCCTAATTTGGTTGATTATGACTCCACCCTTTCCGATTACACCTCCAATATTTGCATTTGGACAAATCAGACGGAGAGAAAACTCCCTTGAAGATGCTTCATCTCTAGGAGCCGAGTAAAGAGACCGTGACCATTCTCCACCCTCACCTTTGTAACTGCCATAAGGCCCCACTAGTGGAGCTAACCCCACTATTGGAGCCCCAGGAGTAGCACCAATCAGTGAACCACCAGATGGGTAGACAGTAGGAGCAGCAGAACCAAGCAAGTGCTGAGAACGAGATGGATTATTGTGAAGGCAAGTTGCAATTTGATAAAGAGCCTTCCTCACCACAGGCAGTTCTCCTGATATCTAAAACCCAATATACCAGAAATAGGTGAGTATTGAAATTTATTCAGTTTGAACGTTACTCTGAAATTCACAAACTAAAAGCAAATAAATATGTGCACGATGAATAAATATGAAAGCCCAGCAGTCATTTGTCCAAACTGAAAACCACCGCATGTTACACAATGAATACATGTACTACAGGGAAAAAGAGAGATAAAATATGCATCAGAATTACCTGCACAAGTTCATCTGAGCTTAGGGCACATGCAGGCAGATGGTTATCCTTTAATATGCGAATCTGCGCACCTGTTTCACTACGAATATTTTGAACTATCTGTCCACCTTTCCCAATAATACATCCAATCTGATCAGACGGTACTAGCAGCTTAGCAGTCACTTGTGGTCCTTCTTCAGAATTCTCATCAACAGCTATGTCCTCACTGACTATTCTGTCATGAACCTTGAAAAGTGCATCCTGAGCAGGACAAACAAGATCTTCAGCACCTTCAAAGTCATTAGTTTCCTCGTTTGAGCTATAGATGGTGACAACACGTTCATCACAATCACGCACTGTCTCACCAATCCTTATCTTCGATTTAGTTTCTGCCCTTAATTGCTTAACAATATCTCCTCCTCTTCCAATGATGCTTCCTATCTTCTTTCCAGGGCAGAGGTAGCGATATACTGTATCTTCAGGACCAATGGGCAAATGGTCTTTATCACCACCAGAGTTTCTCCTTTTGTTTGCCCCATTTTCCGCATAGTCGGAATGCGACTGTGAATGAGAACGTTTCCCATGGCCACTCCTTTGACCAGCCATACTGCAATCTAACCAAAAATCAATTCATGAATACAAAATGCTAAATAATCCTGGGAAAAAAAATAAATAAAATTAAAAATTAAAAAAATTAAAAAAAAAAAATTAAAAAAAAAAACTTTAAAGTCAACACCATATCCTTTCACCATCTACACAAGGGGGCAAGTTGTATTAACAAGAAAGGCAGTCACCTGGGAGCCACACCTTAATAAGCTTTCAAATCCCTCAAGAGTTTATTTCGATGTTTGTGTGTGATGAAAGGATATATACAGCCACAAGTGTAATACTACAACTATCTACCAAATACAGGGGAAAATAAATCCAGACAAAATCAACCAAAGAAAACCAAATGCCAGTGTTAGTTATTACAAGAATGAACATAATGTGCTACGAACAAATTTTCTACCTTGATACCGTATTTAGGGCTTCACCTTCTTCTAAAAATCAACCAATTATGCTGAATACAAAGTAAAGTAAGGATCTAGAATAAAAACCATAGCTGAATCCATTCGAAACGTGATATTTACCAATCTACAAGAGCAATAATCTGGAAATTATGGATCCTAAGATGAGCTCAGATCTAAAGTCGCGAACAAAAGCCAATTATACGATTATACGAAAGCGACGAATATATATATTTATAAAAGTGACAACAATATTGCGATACGAATTTACCTCAGAGAGAGAATTGCTGTGTATATAACTCCTGTCACTGAGTTGAATCGTGGAAAGAGAGATCGCAATGCTCGCTCCCTCCCTCTGACAACGGAGTCTCTGAGCTAGGGTTTTGACCAGCCACGTTTTCTACGGAAATGGATGATGCATTCTCTCTTACGTTTATATGACGCACTTTCGATACTCTTGTCTATTGTCCTTCAAGTCGGTTTTCTTGATCCGGGTTTGGGTCGAATGTACAAATTTTATAATGCATATTTCTATTTCTATTCTATTTTGAGTTAATACTCAAAATTGTTCTAAGTATATTGATTTTTCTCAATTTCCTTCTAAATGACTTTGGTGTTATAAAGTAGTTTGAAATTTTTGTGTTATTGCTCAATATTGACCTTCGTTAGGTAATTCGTTAAAAAGGTGTTAAGTACATAAATAATTTAGTAATTTCAAATGAGTTAATACTTAAAATAGTTCTCTTTTGTTCTAAACGACTTTGGTGTCATCAAGTAATTTTATTTACTCTTCTTTCTTTTTTTTTTTAAATGTATTTTTCTATCAACTCTTTTTTTTTCTATCAATACGTATAAAATTTTTGTATACCCCTGGTTCTCACTGGGTCGAGTATTGAACCTGTGATCTCTCATTTTGGAGAATCACAGTTATACTGCTCGATCATAAAGCCATTGACAATCAAAAGTACTCCTTAAGTCTCAAAAGCTCCACTGTATAACTATTTATTAGTTTGTTTTCACAATAAAGTCGAGAATTTATCCCTCAAGAGTGATAATACCAATACATATTATTAGCAAATGAAATTTAATGTGTATTATTTAATATTTCAAGGTAAATCTACGGCTACTTGCCAAGTAGCTTGTAACTCAATAACACATCTCTAATTACAGAAATCATAGTGATTACAATTCTCAAAATCATAAAGATATCTATTTGATTTTAATGTTTTGTTGAAATAAAAAAAAAAAAAAAAAAAAAAAAAAAAAAAAAGAAAGAGAGATAATTTTTTCTAGTAATGTAAAGTGAATCATGGCATACTAATTGTCAGTTCAGTCTACATATAAATAATACTTTCTCCGTCCCATTTTTTGTGCTGATTCGGTTAACGAGGTTTGACTGAAATTTTTTTTAATTCAATTTTTAGTAGTATTAAATTTAATATTAGTATACAAAATTTATATATTTAGAAACTACACTAAAAGTACTATTAAACACAAAAAAAAAATCAAAATTAAAAAAATAATAATAAAAAATAAACAAAGAATAAAAAGTTTGTTTGAACAATGAATAGTAAGTATGACATATACAATAAGACAAATAGGATACAACACAATAAATAAACCATAAAAATAATATAAACAACTTACTATATATACATATATGTACTAATTTAGTTTGATCTCAAATCATATAGTACTTTTTTTTTAAAACTCATCATATATATATAATACTTAAGACTAGGGGTGGACGTCGGTTCGGTTCGGGTTATACCCGAATTTTATTTCGGGTACCCGAAAATTTCGGGTGATGTTTTTTACACCCGATATCCGAACCAAATTTAATTTGGATATGTTCGGTTTGAGTGAAATTATTTCGGGTTTACTTCGGATTAGTTTGGATATACCCAAAATATTATTTTATCAATTTTGAGTTTTTTTAATGAATTTATTATTTTATTATTTATATTTTTTCATATACTATCAAATTAAAAATAAGACAAATACTAATAATTAACTAAAAGACTTTTAAAAATTAATGTATTATTAATTATGAAATATATTTAAAACTAAATATATAAATTATATTATTATATTTATAATAAAATTTCGGTTAGTTCGGATTTCGGATCGAGTGTAGATAAATTTTTAACACCCGATATCCGAACCGAATTTATATTCGGATATACCAAAATTTAAAATATCCGAACCGATAACTATTTGGATTCACCCAAAATTTAAAATTCGATTCAAGTTTCGGGTGATGGTTCGGATAATCCGAATTACGTCCACCCCTACTTAAGACAAAACATACATATTAAGAAAAAAAATAAAAAGCATCAATCAATACACTAGTTTTGCGTTGTATAAAACTATAAATACACGTGTAATGAGTTGTATCGAATACTGTTACTAACAGTATCTAGTACAATCCGCTTACTAGGTACAACATAGTATCAATATTATTCGATTCTAGTACAATCCGCTTACCAGATTCAACATAACATCAATGTTGTTCGATACGTTAGTTTTCATCAAAATCAACATGCATAGAATACTATACAAGAGTTCCCATAACCTTGATCCTTTTATTATCATCAAAGACATCAAACTCTGTTTGCTTGCACCTCAGCTTCACCAACCTCTCCAAAGAGCCCAGAAACATATGAAAATCTCAGGATGCCAAAAACATGTTCATCTTTCAATCCAGGTTGCTTCAATTCACTCGAATTCTGGTAATGAAGAAGACGAATATATAGAAGAACAGTGTTGAACATGGCAAGTAAGCTTCACAGATGAAGAAGCACAATAATGAAGTGAGAATAAGATTGTAAAGAAAAAGACCTTTTAATCATCTCCAAACTACTTTCAGTGTTGGTGATTTCGGTACACAAAAGCACTCAAGCTCTCACTATATCGAATACAGATATATACATCGACTAGACAGTAAGAAGCTAGCAAGCCACCTACCTACCAAAAAGCACCTTCTTTCTCGACAGCAAAATAAATATAGAATAAGAAATAGAACTGTGAAAACAAAATTAACAGCAGATTTGTCTGATCTCGAGAAGAATTACGGGCATCCACTTCTAAGATTGTTAATCGGCTGAACAATTCTTGGGAGGAATTGCTACCAAAATTAACAATTATGGCCCTCCCGATTACCTGCTTATGAGTTCTCGTGGAAGTTTAGTGACCTGGATAGTGCGGCTGGATTGGCTTGTAATACAGTCGAGTTTTCTGAAGCGTCAGTCTTCTCGTCGTCTTTTGACTGAAAGGCCTTGAAAAGGCCACTCCCGACTGAATCAGCTTTGTCGTTTTTTATTCCCAAAGTTGCCCAGATGGAACTTTTTGCAGCATCTTCGGGGTCATCAATTCGCAGGGTTTTAGGAACCCACAGGCACTTCTCGGGATTACTTTCCTTTTTGGGATCTTCTTCCTCGCTGTTGACCGGTTTCAGCATGTTTTCGTCCCGCGAATGCTTGCCCAAAGTTGGAGAATTAGGACCCGAAGTTGATGGCATAGAAAAGCCAGGCGGGCTAACCCAAGGGACGCTCCAAGAACCCGGTACAGCACAACCCCAATAAGCGGGGGCAGGGTAAACTGGCATAGGAAAGCCGGGAGGGCAGTAACCGGGTGGAGGGGCACCCGGTATTGCGGAGCTCCACTGAACTGCAGTCAATGGATAAGGCCAAGGAGCACCGGGGAAGCATGGCAACTGAGGAGCAAAGCTCGGGCAGTTCTGTCTCCGCATGTCGGGCACTTCGTTTTTGACACTCTCGTCCTCGGTACTCGCAGCAGTGACCGAGGATCCACTCGAACGATCCTCTCCATGAGAACCTGGAACTCCAAGCTCCTCGAGTTTGTGGAACCCATTTATCGAACCGTTCTGCATCGTTTTCTCAGCGATGTTCAGAACCGAAGCCATGGACTCACAGAGAGGCGTATCAGAGCCAAACGAAAGAAGGGCGCCATTGGGATTGATCGTAGGAAGCTGGATTCCATTCGGAAGGTCTACCCGGGCACTTGGAAAGGGCTCCGAGATGGTCACGTGGCGGTAATGGGAACCCGAATTCTTGTTTTTCCTTCGGCCAGCACCAACAGGTACATTCCTCATCGTCCCACCAGCCGTCCAATACCTCTGGCAGTTCTTGCAGAAGTGGCGGGGCTGGTTAACGTTGTAATTGTTGAAATAACAGAACTTTGTCTCCATGCTATTACAGCGCGGACATGGAAGAATCTTGTCCGGTTTTTTCAGAGCCTTCTCTTGTTCCTCCGCCTCCGACTTTTTCATCGCTCCACAATCTTTATTGGTGGATGGCGTTTTCGATTCATCAGTCTCCATCTCATTAGTCTGATCAGTTAACTCTTCTGCCATCAAAGATTCATCCTCCTTACTCTCATCTAACTTTCCTCCATTTTGATTCTGAGTTCATAACAAAGCAAGCCACAATCAAATCACAAGAACAGATACTAATGAAGATGGGATTGCAAAATTGCAAAATTGCAATTATGGTAATAAAAAAGTTTGCAACTTTCCATTCAAATCCAAGGTAACTATCCAGAATTTCAATTACAGATACCAAATAAATCTTTAAATAACAACCATAACTCAAAATTAAAGCTTTTATATTACCAAAAATTCCAAACTAATTAAATGACATATTTCTCAATCTTTCTGGCTTGCTCATACGGATCAAAGGTCGAAAAGGATTCTGGAAGAGTTTAAGGATTAGTAGTGCTTTTTAAGGAACCTACAGAAACTATAAACCCTAGATAGAAGCTTGAGGTTCCTGGAATGAGTTGAAGAACATGGCACATCCCAACATCAAAGTCAACAGATTTCCAAAACTAAGATCGACCCATTGCAGGAATTCAAGTGCCCTACAATGGGTCGTTCTTAGAACAAGCCAAATCCATACCTTTTGCAGGTGTTCATCTTCTTCTCCGCCCCCGCCGTCCTCAGCCGGGTCATTTCCTGAACAGGAGCCATGTCGAGCTGAGCTGTCGTCATCGCCGGGAGTGTCGAAAGGCGGCGCGGCGGCAGCATCGTCCGGGCAAGAGCCCTCCGTCGGCGCCGGAATTTCCGGCAGCTGGATGGTCTTCCCAAACAGCTTTATCGCCGGGTCTTTACTCGAATCCGACATTCGCGTCCACTTTTCTTCTTCTTTCCAACTTCCAACGTTACAAAATACAAACCTCCGATTCCAAGAAACAAAAAACAAACACTAAATCCTATGGCTTTGGGATTGGGTCTCTCTCTTTCCTTTCTTTCATTCACTCGCTCGCTCGCAGGGAGATCTGACAGGTCGGGTCAGGGTCGGGTTTGAGAGCTCCATCTGTTCGTCCGACACAACGTGATAAAACCCAGAAGTGGGCAACGCCACGTCAGCGTGGAAAAGTGAGCCCAGAGCCACAAGTTGTGTGTGGTCGCAAGATCTTCCCTTTACTCTCTTCCTCTTTCTTGATTCTCTTCTTTACTGCAAAGTGGACGAGTCGCTTTTCGTGACTCAGCAAGAACGCTTTTTTGCCTTTTTTTTCTTTTCTTCTCTCCCCCCAATTCCTCGGCGTTTACTTTACATTTTATCGCCCACCTTTTCCAGAAAGTCGCCACGCTTTTATATTTTTTCTCTTTCTTGCCTGTTTTTATGCCCCTTTTTCTCTTTGCGGTTGTGGATGGAAATGCAAGCTGGGGAAACACACACAAATGCGCGTGGAGCCACCAAAAAACCATTTTTTTTTTGAAAGAAAGTCATAACATTAATTCATCAAGTCCGTAGACAAAGCATTACAAAGGAAAGGTGGCGGAATAGAAAGCCACTCGGAGCAACCAGAACTAGAAACGGCATATCTAGCTATAGCATGAGCTACACCGTTCGTTGATCGCTTTACAAAGGATAAAAACACATGCGAAAAGTCGCACAATACGTTTTTAATATCACTAAGGATTACATGGAAAGAGGATTCTCCTATACTCGATTTGAGACTGTTGACCACTTGAAGAGAATCCGTCTCAACGCTGACTTTATTCAAGTTTAGTTCTTTAATCCAGCTCAGTGCTTCCCTGATCGCAGTAGCTTCAGCTTCCCTGGGTGAGAAAACACCATCCCATTGAATTCCTCTAGCTGCTACAAAAGTGCCGTGTTCGTCTCTGATGACGCACCCAAAGCCCATCTTGCCGTTGATTGAGTCTATCGCTGCATCGACATTTAGTTTGTGAAAACCTTCCTGTGGTTTTGACCATTTAGGTTGCACAGTAGTCGACTCCTCATTAACTGGTAAGGATGGTAAGGCTGCTTCTCTCCAATCCTGCAGATACTTCGAAGCTTTAAAGACAATGGTCTCTGCACTTTGAATCCTCTTGTTGTTCCAGATCTTGTCGTTTCTTTGCCTCCAAATTTCCCAGCAACACACGATCACTGTGCATAATTGATCCCTAGGCAAAGATGATGATAGAAAGATGAACCATTCCTGGACAGATGAGAAATGAGCAGAGTTCGGTTGGCACCCAAGAATACTCCAGCATTGTCGAGCATGAATACAATCCACAAACAAATGCCATGCAGATTCCGTCTCTTGGTCACATAAAAGGCAGCACTCTCCACAATTAACTCTCTTGGATATTAGAAGATCCTTGGTTGGTAGACAGTTAGTGCATAACTGCCAAATGAAGATTTTAATTTTGGGTGGAATTTTGAGAGTCCAAATAAGAGTCCACTTCATTCTATCTTCTGCCCTTAATTCACCATTCAAAACTTTGTAGCAGCTTCTCACAGTAAAAACCCCATCATCATTCGGATTCCAGATTAGCTTGTCCTCTGTCTGGTGTTTTCCCAGCGGAATTTTTTGAATAAGATCTGCATCTCTTGTATCAAAGATCTCTCTAATAGTTTCCATGTCCCAGTAGCAACTATCAGAGGTTTTTAGGACGTCCACAGTTGCATTGTCCAGAAAAGGGTACGGGAAAGAAACAATCTGTGGATTATCGGTATCAGGCAGCCAATTGTCACCCCAAATCTTGATCTGATCTCCTTTACCCACTCTCCACCTGCTGTGTTTTCTGAGGACCTCCTGAGTTTCTAATAAACTACTCCAAATATAGGATTGGTTAGAACATTTTTTTGCGTCAAGAAAAGTTGAAGTGGGGTAGTATCTAGCACTGTAAATCTTTGCCACTAGAGAATTAGGATACTTGATTAGCCTCCAAGCTTGCTTGCATAACATGGCAATGTTGAAGTCTCTAAGATTTCGAAAACCAAGTCCCCCCCAGTTCTTATGGACACACAGCTTGTTCCAATTTTTCCAATGAATTCCCTTACTCTCAATACCACCCCCTTTCCACCAATAGCCATTCATTATAACTTCCACCTCCTTAATAAGATCCTTTGGCAGTAAGAACACCCCCATAGCATAAGAAGGAATGGATTGGATGACACTTTTAAGGAGGATTTCTCTTCCGGCTCTAGAAATGAATCTTTGGTTCCATCCCTGTATACGGCTGATTATCCTTGACTTAATGAAACCAAAAATCTGTTTTTTGTTCCTTCCAACCAGCATGGGCAAACCCAAGTAATTCCCACTACCTCCCTCACACCTAACTCCCAGAATGTCTCCTACTCTTCGTCTCATAGACTCATCAACGTTCCTGCTGAAACAGAGTGAAGATTTATCGAAATTGATTGATTGTCCAGAAGTTGAGGAGTAGCTGGCCAGCAACTGCTTCAAATTAGAGGATTCTGTAAGATTAGCCTTGAAGAAAATGTAGCTGTCATCGGCGAAAAGCAAATGAGACACTGCAGGGGCTGATCTGGCTACTGATATACCATGAAGTTTACCAGCATTCTCATAACTTTTAATCAAAGCACTAAAGCCCTCCGCAACAATGAGAAATAAGTAAGGTGACAAAGGGTCACCTTGTCTGAGACCTCTACTGGGAATGATAGGACCAATCTCATTATTGTCCTTCAGAACATAATACACAACAGTAGATACACAATACATAATCATGTCCACCCAACGGTTATTGAAACCCATTTTCAACATGATAGATTTAAGCAAAGGCCATTCAACTCTATCATAAGCCTTGCTCATGTCGAGTTTGAGTGCACCGTACCCCTCCCGACCTTGGGTTTTCCTTTTCAGATAATGCTGCATCTCATAGGCCACCATTATGTTATCCGTAATCAATCTCCCGGGGACAAACGCACTTTGATTATCAGAAATCAAACCCCCCAGAATAGGTTTTAGCCTATTAGCCATCGTCTTTGTGACAATTTTGTATGCGACCGTGCAGAGAGCAATCGGTCTGAGGTCTGCCATTTTTTCAGGAGTAGCCTTTTTGGGGATAAGAACAATATGGGTTTGATTTAGTCCCTTTTGGAACTTGCCTGTCCTAAGGAACTCATTACAAAGAGAGGTCAAGCTATCCCCAACAATATCCCAGTAACTTTGAAAAAAGCCGGGGTTTAAGCCATCAATACCTGGGCTCTTGTCCGGATGCATCCCGAAGGCCGCAGTTCTGACCTCCTCTCTGGTGAAGGCTCTCATAAGGGCCTCATTCTGCGAAGCTGATACCCCCTTGCGAATCTCTTGGAGAACAGGAATTTGATCACCGCTTGAGGCAGTGAAGATTTTTAGAAAATAATCCTTGATCAGATTCTGAATTTCCTTCTCTTCCTGAGTCCAGTTCCCAGCTTCGTCCCGGAGCCTCTTTATAGAATTGTTCCTCTTGCGCTTACTAACAGAGTTGTGGAAGAACTTTGAATTACAGTCACCATCCTTGAGCCAAAATACTTTAGCTCGTTGTTTCCAGTACATATTTTGTTGATTAAGAAGATGGAGCAAAGATTTCTGAATAGCAGCGAATTCCTCAATACCACGAACATCCTCTCTATCGCGGAGAAACTGAAGTCTGGACTTGCATGCATCAATTCGAGGTTGGAAGTTTTTGTGATAATTCTTCCCCCAGTTCCAAATGGCTTCACCGCACATATCAAATCTAGTACACAGTTCAAGACCCACAGAAGAGTCCCAGCTATAGTTGATAATTTCCCTGCATCTAGCCTCTTTAACCCAGCAATTTTCGAATCTAAACCGTCTTCTCCTACGCTGTCGGACCGAGGGGATAGGCCATATAGCAATAGGTAAGTGATCGCTCTGTAAAGCTTCAAAAGAGGTTGCCTTCGCTTCCTCAAACTGCTCGGCCCACGAGTCACTTACAAGGATTCGGTCTAGTTTCTCGCGGATCCAATCTCTAGTCCCTCTTCCTTTCTCCCAGGTGAACTGATACCCACTAAATTCAAAGTTACTCAATCCACTTTGTTCCACTGCTTCTTTGAATCCCTTAAGCAACCATTGAGGTTGGGGTCTTCCGCCTAATTTCTCACTTGGCTTGAGGATGTCATTGAAGTCCCCCATGACTATCCATGGTTTATTTCCTTGGGTAGCCAATCTTCGAAGAAGATTCCAAGATAGGTGGTGATTTTGCCTTTCCGAATGTCCGTAGAACCCTGTAAAACGCCAAACTTGCTGGGAGTTGTCCATACGGACAAGAGAGTCTATATGATTCGAAGAGAAGGTAGATATATTTAGTTCAATATCTCTTTTCCATAACAGGGCCAGACCCCCACTTTGACCCACAGCATCCACTGATAACAGCCCATCAAAGCCCAACTTAATTCTGATACTCTCCATTCTATGCGTAACAAGTTTTGTTTCCATTAAAAATAAAATAACTGGCTTCTTGGAGTGGACAATGTCCACAAGAACTTGAACCGTCGCTGGGTTGCCAAGCCCCCGACAGTTCCAAGCAATAAGACTCATTGAGATAGGCGGGCCTGAGAACCAGGTCCCGCCTCCAGCAAGTTTTTTGGCCCACTAAACGACTCATCTTCATGCTCCATCTCCATGATTTGGGTTCCATCTTGTTCAGCACTGTCTCTTTTTTTTCTTTTTGGATCACGGACCAACACTTCATTTAAAGGTAAGCCCAGCCCAATAACGTTCGGGTTAGGAATAACCCAGTCCAACTCTTGGACCGTTTGGCGTGGATATTGAAGAAAAGAGAATTGACTGCTAGGATGCAAAGAGTCATTTACCATTAAATGAGTCTGGACCCCCTCAGCATTCAGAATGGCTTTTCCAGCTGTCTCTCGATCAGAGTTGCTACCATTAATGCCATCAGTAGCATTAATCAGCGTGTTGAGAGATGTTTCCTTAACCTGAACATCCATTTGTCCTACCGCTTCTGAACCGTTAAAGGTGTTCTGATTGCATTCCGTATTCGGCATTCTCCTTGGTGGGGTGGACAGAAGCCAACGCTCCCCCGTTAACGGTCGAGATCTCCGGCCAGCAGCACGTAACTCCGGCCCATAGGGACGTTCCGATGGGGCTGGGTGCGACTCAAAGAGTTTCTGGCATTGACGATCTCCATGCCCGATCATTCCGCATAGGAAGCAGAAGGTTGGGAGCCTCTCATATTTGAACTCGACCCATCTGGCCTCTCCTCTGGGAGGTTTGACCTTCATCTTCCTCTTCAGAGGACGGGTGATATCCAGGCTCACTCTTATGCGGATAAACGCCTTCCAAGTTCCATCAAACTGAACAACATCAGCCTTCTTGAAGTTGCCCAGGAATG